GTACCCGTAGGGGGGCCGGGAGGGTACAGCCCGTCGCCGGGGGTGGCTGCTCCCGTCACGGGTGGGTACGGCCTGCAGCAGGGGCCCACAGCCCGCACGGGATGGAGCCCGTCCTGCCATGGAGGGGCACGGGCTGTACCAGGGACACGGCCCGTTCCCAGTGGGGCTCGGCCCTGTCACCGGTGCCCTCAGAGGGGCACCCAGTGAGGGGGACCCCGCGCTGGCCCCAGGACTGGGCCAGACAAGGGTGCCGGGGTTGGGTGAGGTGTGCTGGCTGTCCCCAAGGGTCACCTGCTGCCTGTCACCCCACCGTAGGCCTGCCTGGCGGCAGGGGGGCTCCCGGACCCCCTGCAGCCCCAGGGGTGCGGGGCAGGGGCCACAGGCTCCTCCTGCACTGCCGGCTCCATGCTCACAGCTCTGGCAGCTCAGCCCCCGTGTGGGGTGCGGTACCGAGCGCTGCATACGGGCGTACGTAGCTCCTGCAGAAATGAGGCAGCATCGCGTGGTTATGGCCGTCCACGTTTTCCTCCATCTGCCTTGTCCTCTGCTGGGATCAACAAATCGGTCATATCCATTTGGAGACTGGGAGCTTTGTGCAGCGCTTGGGTTTAGGCATCCTGACCTATTCCGAAATCACCCACAGCCCTGCAAAACCCACACAGCTCGGCAACGCGGCTCTTCCCGCCCTCACCCCGGTGTCTCGGGCTGTAAATGCAGGGAGGGATGGGGGGGGTGGGGTGGTCTGTGCCTGGCTCTGCACTGCTCAACGTGTCTCGTCAAAATGTCTCTGCGATGCTCTTTGTGTGGTCCTTCTCCTTCAGCGCCTAGGTCAAGGGTATAGAACAGGAGGGATTTGGAGACGAGGTGAGGCACCAGAGTGATGAGAAAACTGAAGAAGAGAGCAGAGGTGAGAGGCTGCCAGAGGTTAGTATGGTGGTTTATCAGTGGGATGGCAGCCCACGCCAGGGCTGAAAGCTCTTTGGGGAGATCTTTGGTCTCTCAGGCCAAGATAAACAAATCCAAAGGTTGAAATTCAATGGGAGAGGTGCAAGGGGAGGGAGGGAGGAGGGGACAGGCACTGCAGTCCTCAGCATGGGTCTGAGTGATGCATCTGGGGAGACGTGCCTCCAGGCCGAGCTCCCCTGCCAGCAGCTCCGCAGTGCCCCGGCCTCCC